TAAGAAAACAAATGGACAACCAGAACTTAAAGAAACACAACAGATGGTGGATGCCAGTGGTGGTGGTTGTGGGGTGGGTGAAATGGCTGAAGGGAGTGAAGAAGTACAAACTTCCAGTAATAAAGAAGTCATGGGGGTATAGTCACAATGGTGACTACATTCAGCGATACTTCATGCACATTTGAAAGTTGCCAAGAGAGTAAATCTTAAAAGTTCTCAACTTTTTTTGTGTATTGGTAATTTTGCAGTATATACAAATATTGAATCATCATGTTATACACCTAAAACTGCTGGAATGTTATATGTCAATTATATCTGAACCTTTTGAAAAAAGAACACTGAGCCTAGTGATCTGTCAATAACTATGTGTTTGAATATCTCATTCTTCAGTGTCATTACACTAGAAATCTGGATAAATTAGAGGGTTTTGATTTTATTTTGGGGGATGTTGGTTGTTGCTTACGTTTTGGTGTTTGGACATGATTGAGTCCCATGTTCACTATGATTTGTCAGATGTAATTCCAAATCTTGCTCTCACAGTGTATTCGAAAATAAGAAACATATGTTGTACATACCCCACATATCGGTGTCAGGTTTTTTGTCCAAGGCTTACTTGCAAGTGCTTGTTGCCAGCATTCCAGGCTCCACCCCCGAGTCCTATGATATTCACAATGGAGAAATGTGGAAGAGTTTGGGGACTGAGTGAATGGATAGCCACATTCTTCTAAGCAATTCTTTGGCACTGTGGTAAATTCCACTACGGTTCACCTGAAAGCCTACTTGGGGCATATGACGCTTCTCCTTCAATTGATGTTAAATTCAGTGGGTTGAGGTCTTTTGGAAATGCAAAGGGCTGGTTACCTGACTTCAAGGCTCAAAGCCCTCTGAGTTCTGTCGTCAGTAGTGTCAAAACGATAATCTGGAAGAATTTGTAGGTTGCTGTTTGTACAGAGACTGGCTCTTAGCACTGCAATAACCAGATGGTTATCTCTGTGATGTTCTCATGTGATCAGTTGCTATTATTTATGTGCTTCTCATCACATAGAGGGTTTAGACTTTTCTACTTAAGTCTATAGCCTGATGTCTCCCAAAGCAGAGCTGGTTTGCAGAGGAAAATCACGTGAACAAAGAGACACGTGCCTCTGCCCTTTGGGTCACGTGATGACACAAGCACGTCATTTCGAATACTGCTGATGCAAACGTGTGCCACCGTATAACATTTCTTAATACACACTTGGATGTATATTAAATGAATAAACATTATTCATTTAAATAAGGAGGTTAAGTATCCTTTGGATGTTTGACAGGCACGTAAGCGGTTCACTTTAATTGTACTGGAAACCTTCCTAACTGCGTGAGTATTAGGTTACTGCAGTAATAATCAACGGGAGGGGAGATGTCATTAGGTGTGTTCCATCCTAGGCCCTGGGGCCCAACCATCCCCTTTGAGGCTGAGAGCTCTTAGTGGCAAGTCTGGTGGTTCGGCAAGGGTCCGTGCAGGTGTGAGCACCCACAAGCGAGCTCTGCTGGTACAGGCGTGGGCAGGGGAGTACAGTGTCACCTGTGCCGTGTTGGCCCTGCTGGGACTGGGCTGCCTACTGTCTTGGGCATCTAGGCTGCGACCTGCCAGGTGGTGTGCCCTCACCCCCCCAGCCCACGGAGACCCTTGGGTTATCGGCCTGAACCAGGGGACCAGAAGGCACTTGTCAGAAGAAGATGCTAGGTTCCTCCGTCCATAGAGCATTTTCTGCTGGGAAACAGGACCAGGAGATGACTTTGTCTCAGTGAAGCCAGAAGCTGCATGCCAGGCCTCGGGCTCTGAGCTCAGAACATGACATTCGTGCCTTGGAAGACTTTTCTTAGTTTTGAACAGAAGACCACATTGGTCCTTTGCAGGTCACCATGGGGTAAGGTGTGCACGGAAGCGTAGGTGATGGAGTCGCACACTTCCTCTGCCAGTTCTGTGCCACTGGGTTTGCCACGAAGGGCCTAATGAGAGCCGTTTTCTAAATCCTGAATGTTGTTTGATGGGCTGAACAATTTAGTGTCCTGTGTGTTTCTTCACGCTCCCTCCTAGTTCTTGGGTGGGAGGAGAAAGCTGCCCTTTCTGTGAGGGGTTTGCGGTAGGAAGGGCTGGAGTTCCTGGATGATTTGGCCAGGGGGTGTGGGGAGCCAGAGGGGAGCCTCCAGGGGCCTCCTGAGATGGGCCTGGCAGGGTCGCAGCAGAGCTAGGACAGCCTGGCACTGTCGCCCTCCTGAGGCGGCTGCGCTTCGGTTCAAGCCGGCTGTGTGCAGGGAGGCTCTGTCGGCCCGCGAGCAGGCCCAGCCCACAGTCCCCCTCTGCCGACACGGGCTGCGCCTCAGGCATGCAAATCTTACAGGAGAGTGACAGGCTGTTAGGAGGGGCCAAACTGTGCGTGTTCCAAAGTACCACGGGACCGGAGACACAACGGCCCGTGGGCCACGGGCATCAGCAGCACCGTGCATGTGTGAGACGCCTTTGCGCTTCTGTCCTGCTCCACCTGCTGAGAGCCAAGGAGCTGCTCAGCTGGCACAGGACAAACTTGGATAAACACAAGCCTCGTGGTGAGGGGCCCCAGACGCAGAGTGAGTTCACAAAAGGGACTTTTCTGTGAGCCGTCCTCGCATTTGTTAACACCCTTCTGTGTGTGAGATTGCTGCTTCCTGCCTGGGAGGCTGGGGCGGAGCAGACCCTGGTTGGGACGTGTCCAGCCTGGCCTGGTGGGTGCTCCAGGGGTCGTCGGAGAGACCGGGAGGCTTCCCACGAGGCGACGTAACGTGGCACCTCTCTGTTGCAAGAGGGTTGGAGGTGACAGGCTGAAGTCAGGTGCGGTCTGGCTTCTCTTGACGAGCCAGAAAGAATCATCGTCAGGATTTTGTGACCGGGGAGGTGGTCACCGGCTGCCCTGACAGCACAGCTCTTGAGAGGGTGGAGCCCCAACCAAACCGAGGAGGAACCACGGGCCGGGCGTGTGGGCCTTCCCTGGGAAGGTGCACACGGAGCGCCGAGTCGGGGCCAGAGTGCACAGGCTTCATTCAGTCTCCCTGAGACGGGACGGCAGCTTCCCGAAGCCAGCGGCAGGTCGGGCCGCCTGGAGGCGGCTCTTTCCGCAGGCTGGGCGGGAGGCCCCATGTAGAGACGGGGCCCGGGGAGGACCGTGGCTCTGACGTGGTGTTGAGAGTGTGTTCACCCGCTCCGGGCTCTGGGGTCAAGCACGTTCAGCTTCAGCGTGTGAAGGAGACACACGGGCTTCTTCGGGAGCAGGCGATGGGGTCTTGTCTGCGCCGCTGGGGTTGGGTGGGCAGACCTGTTTCTGCACAGCTGCCTGGCGCTCCAAGTAGGAATTTTCCAGATGAGGAGGACAGAAGCCCCTTGGAGGTGAGGTCTGAATTTGGGGCTGAACTGTGGCATTCGGTCCATTACTCTTCTCATCTGCTGTCCCCTGCTGCTGCCTTATGTCAGCTGTCTCATGTGTGTGAATGTGTCACTTTGAACATCAGTCTCGAGCAGGTTGTAGAAAGGGCGCAGGGGCGGTGTCTGCCGAGAAAACCGAGATGGGTTGCGAGCCCTTGGCACGGCCGCAGGCCCTGGCAGGTCCCAGCCCACAGACCCGTGCTCACTCTCCCCAGCTGTTGGCTCATGTGGTAGCGAATTCCTGCTCACAAAGAAATGCCTCCCTGCCACCAGACATGACCTCAGAACTTGTCTCGATGTTTGGCAACATGACCTCCAATTCACATTGGAGTGAGTATTAAAAACTCCACTTGAAAAAGCATTGCTTGAGGGAAAAGTACTGTGAGGGTCCTGAAACGGGAACGTCCCTGTCCGTCGGGCGCCAGCCCCCTGCTCGCCTCTCTGCGCCGCATGGGGTATCGGGAGGTTGGCGGTGCGATTCCGAGTGAGGAGACCTGGATTTCACCGTAGGGTTAAACTGTGAACCAGTTGCTTGACAGGCTCGTTTGAAGACATCCGTGCTGCTGATTTTACCCACTGGAGACCCCGTCACCACACGCTTTCTTAGTGAGGCGTACGTGGGCGGAGCGACCGGAAGGCAGGGCTGGTCTGCCCACAAGCTTGCTGGGTTGTCCGAGGGCTCAGGAAGAGCCCGGTGGGAACAAACCAGGGTGGCCGGTTCACCGTGTTGTGATGTTTCAGTTGTAGGAATGTCCGCTCCTTGCTGGCTTTCGTTTTATTTTCTAAATCCTGGCTGGTGTGACTGTGGGGGTGAAGAAAGCCGGTTGAGCAGACCTGCTGCGGGCAGCCAGATGTGGTCAGCAACAAAACCACAGGTTGGCAGCCCCTGGATCGCCTCTCCGAGGAAAGCTCCATCCCGTGGGGTCCGCGGGATGCCGTGCTCCTAAGTCAGTGCTGGTCATTTGGGGCTTCTGGTGCTCTGGCCCGCCAGCATCCAAGTCCTGCAGCAGGCGCCTGTCCGGCTGTGTCCTTGGTCACAGACGTACTCCGGGCGCACAAGGGTGGCAGGCCTTTTGGTTGGGAACGGGCGTCTAGTTCGCCCACAGTGGATGTCAACAGACACAGCAGGGCCCTGTGCTCTGAGTAAAGTCAGGCTCTGTGTTACGGAGGAAGACGAACCCTTTCTGCTCTCCACGACGGTTACGTTCTATGGTCATAGTCTTAGGGAACTGGAGGGAGTCGTAGCAGCAGCTGTTTAAGGGACCCACTATGTGCCAGGCGCACACTGAGCACTGTCCACGCTCCTCCAGTTTATTCCTTGCAGCAGACCCACTCGAGGGCTCTGCTCTCACCCCATGGCACAGGTGAGGAAACTGAGACTGAGTGACCTCGCCGTCCCGTTCGAGGTCACACAGCAGCAAGCGGCAACCGGGGCTGTGATCCCAGTTCTGCAGAGTCCGGGGAGGTTCCCTCCCTCCCAGAACCCAGGGACAAGGCCACGTCTTGCCAGGAGGGTACCCGTCCTTCCCGGCTTTGTGACTTCTGTGTCTGTCGCCTCTCCCAGGATGCGGGGAGCCAGCAGATCGGGTTCTTGCTTGGAAGCTGTGGAGTCACTGTGGCCTTGACGAGCGACGCCTGCCACAAAGGGCTGCCGAAAAGCCCAACCGGGGAGATCCCCCAGTTCAAAGGTAAGCCACAGCCAGGAGCCTAGTTGGGGGTCTGGCTCTTCACTCAGGAAGGTCCTGCGTCTCCCCTGGACATGCTCTTCTGCACACGGAACGCAATACGTCTGCTGTTGTCAGCCTGCCGTGTGGCGTGGTTTACCCGGCAGTATGTGTGCTGTTGACGTTGTCTGAGGCTTGAGGAAGCACTGGCGATCCCCCCTTGTTCATGTCACATGGGCCACAGGAAGGGGAAACGACTTGGCAAGCCTGGTTTCTGGGTAGTACGCCTCTCAGAGGGGTCTATTTGTTTCTTTGCAAGGTTGGCCAAAGCTGCTGTGGTTTGTCACAGAGTCAAAGCATCTCTCCAAGCCCCCTCGAGATTGGTTCCCACACATCAAAGATGCAAACAACGATACCGCGTACATAGAGGTGAGTTGCAGCGCTGCCCACGGGCATCGAGCAGTTGGGCCGACCTTGGCCTGACTGGGGCAGCCGCGTTGTCCTCTCTGTACCCCTCTCTGCACGTCCCCATCTCATTTCAGTATAAGACCTGCAAGGACGGAAGCGTGCTCGGGGTGACTGTGACCAGGATCGCGCTGCTGACCCACTGCCAGGCCCTCACGCAGGCATGCGGCTACACGGAAGGTATGGGCAAGGCCCTGACTCAAGACTGCGTCCCTGGGAGGCTCGTGTCAGCTGTGGAGGGACTGAGTCACTCCCCCTGGTAATGGAAGGAGTGATGTCAGGTTTGCACGGAGCTCGGCAGGCGGTGCCTTCTTGTTGCCCTCGCTGTGCAGGGCGAGAGAGCTCTGGTGTCTCATCTCTCCAGGATGTGGGTCCTGATGGGATCAGACCCGCCCCATGACCTCACCGAACCCTCATGACCTTGGCAGAAGCCGTATTTCCAATGGCAGCCATGCCGGTGTGCGGGCTTCCACCCGTGAACTCGGAGGGCACGGCTCAAGCTGTAGCAGATAGTTAATTCTGTGGATGTTCATGCCTGGGTACAAGTTAGGGTCTCTGGGATCTTCAGAAAAAGCCCACGTTCAGCCCACCCCTAGCAGCTCAGGGAGAATCTCTGATGGGGATTCTGCGAGCTTCTCAGGGTGGGCAGCAGCTGCCGAGGGTGTGGTTTTTATGACGCACACTCTGTCTCCCGAACAGGACGGTCCTGGAGGCCAGGAGGTAGGTGACCAGAGGTAACCGTGGCCACGGTGCTGGCTGGGGGTCATAAAAGGCAGGGTCCACCCAGGTAACCAGCTACCCCCTGGCTGGGGCTTCTGTGACCAAGGCCCTGCCCTGGGGACTTGGACGTGAGCGCAGCCCTGGGGCTGGTGCCTGAGGAAGCTGGTGGTGGCATCTGCACTGCCCTGGGGGTTGGATGCTCCTCTCCTTCTCTGTCCCCAATGCCACTGGCAACGGCCCTCTGAAAAGACAATTCATTTGTGTCCTGGGGATGTTCTGGCTCACGTTTGGTCCCTAAACTAGTTTCCAAGGTACTTTCACCTTGAGACACGTGACTGCTAATCGTTTCTCACAGCCTCAGGACTCGTATTCCTTGTTCTGCTTTCTTGAAGGTCCAGGGCTGTCGCTTTTACGGGTGCCAGAGAAAACACACACACACACTGGCTCCTTATTTCTAAAGTGAAAATACTCGTAGGACGTGGAACAGAGGCTGTTTCCTTCACGCGGGGACGCCTGCCTTCTCTGTGAAGTGGGGTCAGGTGCACGATACCAAAGCTCTGGCGAGCAGCACAAGGACAGCGTACGGACCTAAGAGGAGGCGTCAGGAAATGCCCAGTGTCAAGTGTGGCTTCAGAAAAGTTTTTCCACGTAGCTTCCACGTGCCACCATGGCCCTTGTTTTCAACTATGTATCGTTAGCAGCCTTTCTTCCCGCTTCACGAGGTGTCCCCCATAAACCTTGAACACTGTTCCGTCACCGTCCTTCCAAATCCCATGCCTCCTTTATGACTCCAGCCACCCTGAGGCTTCTAGTGATGTGACGCCCTGCGTTTGCTGGAAAGCACTTCCCTTTCCTGGGGGATCCCATGATGGAAATGAAAAGAATCTTTAAAAAGTTACAGGCAGGGAGGGGCAGTAAGGACATAAATAGAAGGAATAAAATGTTTTAAGTGGCCTGTGAAGCTGTCGCTGTTAACTGATGTGTCAGGAGGCTAGAAACACTTTTCCAGGTGGGCAACGTTTTTAAATGGGTTTGCAGGCTGCAGGTTTGCAGGCTGCAGGATGTCTGCAGAGGTACTGGGAACCATGTTTCCAAGGTCCTGTACTGCCCCTGACATGATGTTGGATTTTCTTTGCCCTTTGGGCTGTGCTACATGAAAATCTTCCGTTTTTATTTATTCAGCGGAAACCATAGTGAATGTGTTGGATTTCAAGAAGGACGTTGGGCTCTGGCATGGCATCCTAACAGTAAGTGTGACCCTTCCCCTGTCCCCCCCGGGCCACAGCCAGAATTAGGGTCTGTACACACGGCCACTCGCCCAAGCCCCTCTCGCACTGGGGAGCAAAGCTGTTAATTGCTGGAAGCTTTAAGCTGTCTGCTAATGCAACTTCCCAAGCCCAGGAAGCCTGCGGGAGTCAGCCGCTCACGGGAGTCACAATCCCCCCCCCCCCCCCCCATTTAGAGGTGCAGCTGTTGAGGAAACAGGGTATCTTTCTGCCCCCTTCTGGAATCACGACTGCAATGATGTTAGTCACATCTCCCGTCTGGGTCACTTTTCCTTTGCATTTGGTTTCACTCTGACACTGTTGTTCTTTTTCCTTTCTGTGAGTCAGTGCTTGTGAATATTTTGCAAACCTGCTTGGTTATGCCACAGGGGAAGCGCTTTACAGGTCCCCCTTGTGCTGACAGTTCCACTCCCGTCATAAAGAAATGCGTGCCGCCTCCCTGTGGGTGCTGCCTGGCCAGGGCGGGCAGTTCAGAGCTGCAGGCGCTTTGATGGAGACCCAGCCTGGTTATCTAAGGTCTGCACAGCCCTTGCAGGTGTGCATAGCTTAACTGCTGGAGCATCGCTGTGTCGGTTTCATAGGTGGTGATCTTTACTCCCCTGTTTGTAAGTTCCTTATGCTAAGCTTCATCTTTTCTGAGGTAGAAAATTCTAGGGGCTTTTGCACGAGCGATAGGATATGAGTAGACGAAGTGTGATTTGTCGCCTCTTGGTGAGGGCACGTGAGCAGCACATGGACCGGAGGGTGGAGGCTCCGTGGCTTCCCTGTGGTTGGTCTCTGCCTCTGGGTCCCAGGAGGTGCCAGCCTGGAGAAGCCAGGCTGCCCGTGTGCGCTCGCGAGGCGAGCAGGTATCGTGGGGAGAGCACGGGCTGCCTCACCCCAGCCGATGCCAGTCCTGCCTTCTGCGGCTCTGTGCCCGCAGGCCCGTCGCCTGCCCCCAGGACCTCTTGAACCACAGGGTTCCTGCCTGTCAAGTGGGGTGATGGTCCTGTGTGGTGTCGTGAGCACTCAGTCCACCTCCCTGCCCGATGGTCGCGGCAGCCGCCTGGGGGCTGTTGCCGTTCAAGCTCCTCTTTGATGCTGTTGCTCTGCAGTAGTCTTGTCGGTGCTGTCCCCAGCTGCTCGCCGTTGCTTTGGATCGGCAGTTTCTGAGTCTCTATTTCACTGCCACCTCCTAGAGCAAGGCCTGGCTCCTGCTGGATGCACACGCTCCTCCCTGGCATCTTCTGTGTGGCCAGTGGTGCCCTTGGCCCCCAGCGTGGAGCAGGGAGCAAGCCCGTGATGGGGGCCCAGGCCTGTTGCGTCCCCGCGCGAAGCCTGGTGGGGCGGGGTGCCTGTCCTGCTAGTGTGTCAGCAGTCACCTGGTGCGTTGTTTCCAGAGCGTCATGAACATGATGCACGTGATCAGCATCCCATATGCGCTGATGAAGGTGAACCCGCTGTCGTGGATTCAGAAGGTCTGCCAGTACAAAGGTAGGCATCCAGAGGCCTCGGCGCCCCGGTTCCCTCCTTCAAACAGCTCCTGGCCTGACCGTGTGCATATTGACCCCTTCCTCTACTGTCCCCACAGCAAAGGTGGCTTGTGTCAAATCCAGGGACATGCACTGGGCGTTAGTAGCACACAGAGATCAGAGAGACATCAACCTCTCTTCTCTCCGGATGCTGATCGTGGCTGATGGCGCAAATCCCTGTAAGTGACCTACCTGCTGCGTGGGCGGGCGGGAGCCTCATCCCCTTCGGTCTGTTTCTGCGCTTTGCTTCTCCTTCTCCGGCCATTACTGTGGTTAGGAAGCGGTGTCAAACTCATGACCTCACAGTGTGACTGTCTGAAGCCTGAAGGCACCGTGACGGGTGGCGGGTAGGGGACCAGGAGTGCCTGGCTCCTGCCCGGGGCTTGAGTACTGCTGTTGCCATTTCCTGATTCTGTGGAAGAAACCCTAACCTTCTGATTTCAGTCCTTCTCCTTCTTTTGCTGAAAACGGTGCCTAAATCTTGAGTGTATGAGGATTGAATTAAGTCGACCCTGCGTGTATTTCCTTGAGTGATGCTGCATGCTCAAGAAATATTAACTGTTATTGGTTTATGGTCTTTAGTAATTTTATTGGTCAAGAAATTAATCTGTCATTTTCAGGGAATTTCATTATAAAATTTTATGGGAAAAACCGCCCAGGTAAAGTGAATTAGGAGTCCCACAGAATGCCGTAAACATACCTCGGGAAATACTGCCCTGGGTTGGAAGAGAACCCAGCTGGCTTGTTGTTTGTGAGGGGGGCGCGTGAGCCAGAAGCAGAGTGAGTGAACGAGGCATTTGTTTCTGACCGTTGTTGACGTTTGTCAATTAAAGCAGAACACGTGATGTGTACACACGGACTCTCACCCACGTGATTCGGTGTTAGTTGTGTACATGGTTCTTCCGTTTCCCCCGTGGCTCCATGGCTTGTGAGCCACTCTCGCACATGGCTGCTCTCAGGCAGCAGTCGTGGAGGAAGGCAGTAGTTTGCTGATAGGCGCCTGGCGGTTACTCCTGCACTCCTGTATCTCTCCGGTGGGGTTAACACGGGAGAGTTGTCTTCACTTGGCTTAGATATAGTCCTCTTGCGAACACGCATATCAAAAATGGGGGAACAAGCCTCAGGGAAGGTATGCAGGCTCATCGGTGGAAGTTACACTTTTAAATCCTTGAGCTCAGTCGACCTGAGGGGATCACCTTTCGGGGTGACATAAGTACTAAGCGGTATTGAGTGAAGTGTGTTCCCGCACCGCCTGCCTCACACCCTCGCTCGAGGAGCACTCGCGTCTGGCTGGTTTGGCTGGTTTTAGTCAGTCCCGAGCTTCCGCTGGCTGACTGTGGTCCCCTTTCACCTGCAGGGTCTATCTCCTCCTGCGACGCGTTCCTCAACGTCTTCCAAAGTAAAGGCCTGCGCCAGGAGGTCATCTGTCCTTGTGCCAGCTCCCCAGAGGCTCTCACCGTCGCCATCCGGAGGTACAGCTGGGCCCCTGCAGCGGCGCCTGCGTGGTGCCACCGTGTGGGGGGAGGGCAAGACCCGGCCCGTTTGCGGCCAGCTTTGCTTCCCTGCGTGTGCCGGGACGGATTCTTCCGGATCCATTAGTCTGGGGAGTGACTGCGTGAGGCCCGTCTGGAGGTACAGCGAGCAGTGACGTCCCGTCCTTGGGGGTCACCCACATTTCCATGTGCCCGCGTCTGGCCTGGTGTTATGCGGGGGTGGGCTGCGTCAATGCTGGGTGGGGTGAGGTGTTCACGGCAGGGCTGGGCCTGCTGACATACAGCTTCCACGAGGTCCTGGCTTTCTGAGGTCTCGCGCTGTGGTGGCACGTCCGAGGGCTTTCGGGTCTGTGCGTGGACACGGGGCCTGCGTCACTCATGCTCTTGGTCGTTCATCAGTCAGTCGGCCTCACCGCCTGCTCCGGTGCTGGGCACACTTGTGGGGGTGGCGTGGATACGGGTGCATAAAGCCAATCCCACCCAAGCTGAGAAGTGCAGGAAGGGCCTGTTTGATCGTCATCAGTCATCTGCCATCCTCACAGTGTGGGAAAGGAATATTTGCATCACCTGTATGCTTGCAGCTTGGGACCCGACTTGGTATCTTTGCTTTCCATCGCTGACGAGGTTTTATCTCGCGTCACACAAATGTGCTCCGTCATAAGAATGGACGACACAGCTTTCAGCACACAAAAGCATGTAATTTCTGCCCTCATTACTGAAAGGTTTGGGTCCCCAAAAATTCTCAGGGGAAGAGTGTAAGTAATACAACTTCTGACGGTTTTACTTGTTAGTTAACGTAAAGTCAACCACACTGCCTAACAGGTTGAGAAATCGAAAACCTTTAAAGTATCAACAAAGTTTTAATTTTGATTGAAGCAGAAATTAGAAGTCTGTCACACATTTTAAAATTGATGAGGGAATATGGCGCCACGAACCAGGATCCAATTTCCAATTTTTAGAAGGTGTCACTGTTCTAACAGGAGGTGCTCCACATAAAATATCCCGCTATTCGTGTCTGGCCTTGGACAGAATCCTGGAGGCTTTGGGAGCAGGTTGGATACCACAGTGCTCTCCCGAGATCAGTATTAAACCATGTCCAGTTTGAGCCTGAGTGTAAACGCTAGGGAGACACCCCCGGGAGACACAGCCAGGGTCTGGCCACGGGGTCCTGGGCATGTTCCTTATCTCCAGGGCCTTAGTTTTCTCCACCAATGAGTTGAGGGGCTTAGACTCAGGACTCTTAATTTCCTCTGGCCTTGAAGTGTTAAGATTGTGCAGTTGTGTGACGTAGCACCATTGCCACAGATAATTCACAAGATAAGTAATGATTCTGACACATAGAAGATCCAGTTGTTAGCATCAGATGATTTGTGTATTTCCTAGAAGCTTCCTGTGTACATTGGGATATGTAGAGTGGATTATGCCAGACTTGATGGCAGAGGGAGGAAAGGTCAGTGAAGGATTTTTTTTTAAAGGATAAACACACACACACTTACATATACGTATGTGTATGTGTATGCATATATATATATATATATATACACACACATACACATATGTATGTATGAGAATCCGAAGCAGGCTCCAGGTTCTGAGCTGTCAGCACAGAGCCTGATGCGGGGCTCAAACCCACAAATTGTGAGATCATGACCTGAGCAGAAACCGGAGGCTTAACCAAGTGAGCCACCCAGGCGCCCCATCAGCTAAGGAGTTATCGTTGTTTCTCTAAAAATGTTTAAAAATCTTTAAGAAGATTAAAACTTTAATACCCCAAACAGACAAATTAAGGGGTTGCTCTTTCCTGGGGTTGTGCTGAATGGCCTCCACTGCAGTTCCCCTGTGGTCAGTGCCTCAAACATCCCCAGGCACCCCCGCGTGCCCCCTGCACCTCCCCCATGCGCTTTTTCATGAGCCTCCCCCAGCTCCCCATGCCCCACACGTGCCCCAGGCCTCCCCATTTGCCTCCCCAGGCCCCCTATGCCCTGCCTTATGCCACACACCACCACACATTGCCCCGTGTGCCTCCCTGCCCCCCCCCCATGTGCCCACGCCTCCCCTCATGCATCCCCACACATCCCCTGCACAGACCTGCCTTGGCTGAGTCCACACCAGCATCGAGGGCTGGGAATGGCAGTGTTAGAGGCTCTCGTCCTTCTCTGCCCTGAGGCTGGCAGATGCCACTCCTCTGTGAGACCGTGAGCTAGTCAGCTCCTGCTTGGAGCAGGCGGGAGTGTGGTTATACTTACAGAGACTTGATTCCATCTGCCTTGCTTTGAACTGAGCTGGCATCTCTTTGCAGACCCACCGGCTTCTCTCGCACCCAACCATGACCCTGACCACCACTCTCACACCTTCGAGGTCTGCTGTTTCCAAAATAACCAGAAGAAAATCAAGGGACTGGGATAGGGCAGTGGATACAGGTGACCAGGGCTCCTTGTGAGCCCTCTGTCCTGTAGCCCACCATAGCTGGAGATGGCTGTCATGTGGGCAGGGGTCAGGGTGGCAGGCTGGCAGAAAGATTGTCACCAGAAAGGCTCAGGACCATCCGCCTGCCCCCTGCACCACCTGTCCTCACTCCATGTGTCACAAGTGGAGCTGACTTAGCAGAAATGACACATGAGGTTACCACCTCGGCCAAATATCTGCCATGGTCTCCTCACAAAATCTTCCATAGCTCATATCAGTTCAGCTTACTATGTTATTGACTATCCTTAATAGTCCGAAGGGTTAAAACGGAAAAGGTTTGCGACTGGCTTCAGCAAATGTCAGTTTCTAATCCCAAACTGGTTTTACTGCAAACATTTCCTAATCCTCAAGAGCGGTATTTGTTCACTTCACTTGCACTGTTTGTGGGCGCTGGTCCTCCTCGGGCTCTTAGCTCAGCAGGTGTCCATGGGTGCCTGTCCTCCCAGCACCTGTGCTGGACACAGAGCTGTGAGCAAAGTGGGGCCCGCGTGGGCCTCGGAGGGCACACCACCCACGTGAGGCAGTGAGAGGATTTGCCCTGATGCTGTCATTGAGTGAGGGGAATAGAGTGCGAGTCCTTGAGTCTCACACGGGCCGTTCTGAAGCGTCGCTGGCACACGGCTGCACCTGCTCGCGTGGGGCGGGCACCGGCAGAGCTGCTGGTTAATGGAAGCCGGCAGGGCTACGGGGCCCGGAGTATGCACTCTGCCCTCTACTGGAAAGGCAGTGGATGAGCTGTGTCCGCCTGTGCTCCCAGCTTGCGGGGCTGGCCCGTGGTTCTGGTGCCTGGGAAGGCTCACTCTGTCCTCAGACACCGTTGGCCATCTTCCTCCCAGAGAAACCCAAGCTCGCCAGCCACCTCCTGTCGCTGTCTTCAGCACTTGAATCACCAGGAGCGCATGTTAGCCGCTCGCTGGTGCTGGGACGAGTGGCAGGCACCACTTGGACCTGCTTAGCACGGAAACAGCTCCCTTGATGCCTCACAGGGTCAGTGGCGGCTCACGTGTCTGCCTCTGGTGGCAGCAGCAGCGTGGTTCCAGAGGAGCAGACTCCCGAGGGAGGCGACGGCCAGGCCTGACATCTTCTGTGTCACCCCGTCCTTGCTGAAGCTGTGAGGTTTAAATGTTTCTGCTTGTTTTGTCTTGAAGCTTCCAGGCTGTCTGTTTCAGAATAAAGATGTGAGCCCTGTGCTCAGCTTGCACTGTTGACCACCGTTTGAACGTGTTGGGATGGCCTGGGTATCTCCCGAGGCTTCTCGGAAGACGGTCCCCTGGCCTGGGGCCTCATGGTCACGCTTGGTGACAGATAGTGAAGTGTGACCCCTCCATTTTGCTTCTGCATCAAACAGGGAAAAACGTTTAGTTGGAATTCTAACATACTTGATCATCAACTTAATAGTTGTAGCCAAATAAAGATAATTTTGGGGAAGATCCTTGTAAGGTATTTGAAAGCAGAGGGTTCTTAAAGATCATCGTGTGATCCATTGGAGGTGCTCCTGGGCCCCATAAATGCCTCTGCACCGTTAACTGCCTTCGTTCTCCGATTTCGCGTTCTTCAGTGTCTTGGACCAAAACTGAAGTAGGAGGACATTTCTGAAATTCAGATGAAAATCCCCGCCAGCACACCTGACACGAAGCAGGCTGCAGGTGATGTTAAAAATTGTGTTGCAGTTTTTAAAACCCGTTGTTTTGGGTAGCACTGTGGTCTTGGCTGAGTGGTTTCCTGTCCCAAGACGTCCTGGGTCCTGGAGAAACGCAGCCTCCGATTGCACACTTCTGCATGGAGCGGCTTGGGAAGACAGCCCTCTGCTTGGTCATGATGAGCAGGGGTGAGGGATCGTGATGTCTAGCCCCACGTGCTGAGACGCCGCATGGTGGGCAGTGCTCCCGGGTGCTTCCCTGCCCCTCGTTTCGGGTTTGATGAGACTTGAAATCACAAACTGTGTCCCCACTGTACCATCTGGGAGGGAATCTGGGTCCTGTGGACAAGGTTCAAGCTGCATTTCGAGACTGGGTAGCTTGGCAGGTGTCTGCCAGGCATGTGCTGTGCTGTCACCCACCTCACGTTGTCTGCCCAGAACTGTGTAGATCTGGGAGAGCACTTTTTAAGTGTCATTGTGATCTCATGGCCACGCTAGGTGGCAGAAAAGGCAGATTTTTACACTGACCGTCCACTTGCGTCACTGTAGACCTGTTCACCTCTGAGACACTCAGTTTCTCCCACCTGTAGAGGAAGCAGATGCGACTAGCCGTGTCTGCTGACGCGCACACCCCAGACCCTGAGCCCCGGCCCACACCAGCTACGTCCCAAGGTGAGTTAGCGCCCTGCTCATCAGCCACGGCCTGGCAACTCGCGGTCACGGAGCTTTCCCCTCGCACCAGCCCGCTGCTGTAGCTTCTCTATGAAATTTTAGGTTAAATCCAGGACTGTGCAGAGACCAGACATGACTCTGTTCTCCTTGGTATGGGAAGGAAGGAGGCAGAGCGGAAATGACTTTCAGTACCAGCATCGTC